TGAGCTCATCTATTTTTTTATCTGTTTCTGTTCTAGATCCTCTAATCATGTCTTTCACTCTGCTCACCATCTCTGTGGATATCTGGGAGATTATTTCTGCTTTGAATTTTTCTAGAGCCTCATTTATGTTTTGTTACTTCCTGTGCTATCAGTTCAGGGTATCCAGGTGGTTGCTTATGGGACTTTTCCATCTCATTTCCCTCAGGATTTACCCTTGGTGTGGTGGAAGTCTGAGTTTGTGCCTTGCTTAAATGTCTTCTCATTTTTGCTTTTGGTACTGTCCTTGGTTTAACTCCTGGGTTGATAGTTTGGAATTGCTTATTGTAGGTATTTTTGTTGCTTGTAATTAGAACGCTTATGGAATGATTGCTTCTCAGAGGTATCTTCCAGATATAGCTGATCTTTAAGTTTTGAGTCTCTAATGACTCTAAGGCTATCTCATTTTCCTTACACTAGGAAGGTTCATTGACTAGATCAATAACAACACCTTAGCCCAAGTGATACAATCAGCAACACCAATGCATTAAGTACATCTTCAAAAATGACATTTTGTGGTAGTTATTAATCTATCACCTTTAGCTGTGTGAATTAAATCAAGATCGAGGACCAACCCAACATATAGTGAATAAACTCTTCAATATAACAACTTTACCTTTTGGGATGTGGAGTTAGAAGCAGTTGGGGAGGGAGGGACAGATGGGAAGAAAGATAGGGGAAGGTTACCAGTGTGGCCAGAGGACACAGGTGAGAAGGAAAAAGAGAATAATAGGAAAATAAGGAAGAACTCTGAATGAGGACCAAAACAGGGAGAAAAGGGGAAGATGAACAATGTGGGAGAGCAAGAGAGTGAGTGCAAGAGAGAGAGAAAGGAAAGAGAAAAGAAAGAAGAAAAGAAAAGAATACAAAGGAGAGAAAAACAAATATTTGCAAAGAGTGGGAAAAAAATTAAAGATTAGAGGAGCAAAAGAAAAGAAAAGAGAAAAAACCCAAACTCATAATACTAATTTTGGGAATTAAAAAAACAATGAAGATGAAGGGCCTCTTTCAGGGTATATTTCTGCTGTCACAATAGACAAGGTGCGTAGCAGTGTGCAGATATAAGTCAATGAGTCTCAGCAAGCTAGTTGCAGACCCATGAGATTCAGGCAGATTTCTGGCTGCAAGACCCAAGTTGAGCTCCCTGTCTCCTGTAGGGTTCAACTCTGCAGAGTTGTATTGCAGGTTCCAGCTGCTCTGCCCCTGAAGATAGACCCGGTCCTGATGGGAGGTGAAGATGACTCCAACTTACCCAGTACAGTGGTCTGGTGGTCCAGTGTCCTCTTCGTCTTTGTAGTGTGGAACCAGGTGGCTCTACAGCGAAGAGGCCAGAGGGGAGGGTGGTGTCCAGTGGATTGCTGCTGGGGCGCAGGCTGATTTGGCGTGTTCCGTGCAACTCGCAACCTCAGTAGGGTGTCCGCAGACCTTCCTGTCTGCAGCGGGCTGATTCCATATCTGATTTTTAATAAAGAGGCCAAAATATATGTTGGAGAAAAGATAGCCTTTTTAACAAATAGTGTGGGAAAACTGGCTATCCACAGGTAGAAAATTGAATCTAAACCTGTCTTTCTGACCATGTACTATACTAAAATCAAAATGGATCAAAGATCTAAATATTAAAATAGACACATTTAATCTGAAGGAAGATAAAATAGGTAAAAATCTTGAGGACATAGTCACATAGAGAAAGACTTTAGAAACAGAACCTTAACTGCACAAGAAATAACATCAAGAATCAATAAATGGAATTATATAAAATTAAAACCTATTGTACAGCAACAGAAACAACTAACAAAGTGAAGTAAGCACATATAAAATGAGAAAAAATTTTCCTCCTGCTCCTCAAAAAGAATAATATCTACAATACATAAAGAATTCAAAAAAGTTAGCCTTCCTAAATAAAAGACCCAATCAAAAAATGGGCAAATGAAATGTATAGACACTTCCACAAAGAAGTACAAATGACCAGTAAATACACATCAAAATGTTCAACGTCTCTGGCTTTTTGAATAATGTAAATTAAAACAATACTGAGAGTCGATCTTACCCCAGAAAGAATGGCTATCATCAAGAAATAAAATTATAACAAATGCTGGTGAGGCTGCAAGAAAAAAGAAACTTGTCTTTATTGTTTGTGTGAATGTAAACATTTATAGCCAGTTTGAAAATCAATGTAGAGATTCTTCAAATAACTATAATTAGAAATTCCATTTGATCCAGTTATGCCCCTTCTAGGCATCTTCCTGAAACAGTTAAAGACATCATATTTCAGTAATATATGCATACTCATGTCTATAGTACCACAACTACTAATAGACACAACTTAGAAATGGCCCATGTTCATTAACAGATGAAAGAATAAAGTAAATATTGGTTTTATATACAATGAATTACTACTCTGCTATAAAGGATAAATTTGAGTCATTTGTAGGAAAATGGATGCACCTTGAGACCATAATATTAAATGAAACACATTAGATAAACATGCTTAAGTATCACTATTTCTCATATGAGAAATGCAACGTATATATAATATATGAGCAAAATAAAAGATAGGCAATAGGAAACATAGAGCTATTTTGCAAATGGAAAAGGGACTAAGGGTTGGAGAGATGGGGGAGGAAGGGGAGGGGAAAGAGACATAAATAAAATTAAGATGTATTATCTACATGTTCCAACTCCCCACAATGAATGACATTATACACTGGAAACATGTACTAATAAAAATAATTATTTGTGGAAATGTAAATTAGTACAACCATTTGTTAGAGATCTCTCAAAGAACTGAAATTAGAAATTCCATATGACTCAGCTATCCCCTTGCTAGGTATCTTCCCCAAAGAATTCACATTATCATACTACAGTGATACTTGTAGATCAATGTTTATAGCAGCACAATTCATAATAGCTAAATCCTGGAAGCAGTCTGTATACCCATTAGCAGATGATTGGATAAAGAAAATGTGGCATCTATATATAATGGAATACTACTTGGCTATAAAGAATGACAAATTTGAGACATTTGTATGAAAATGGATTCAGCTGGAAAATATAATTTTGAGTGAAATAAACCAGGCCCACGAACCTAAATACCACATGGTATCTCTCATTTCAGTGAGGCAAAGTACAAAGAAAAAGATCTATGATGGATAGAAAGGGACAAAGGGAAGGACCTCTTCCAATAGGGCAGTGGCCAAGGAACAAGGGTGAAGGGTGAGGAGGAGGGCAAGGGGAAATAAGAATAAATATATGCCATGTACAGAAACGTAATAACCCTAATTAATGTAAACACTATATGTCATAACATGAGCTAAGAAAAACAATATCAACAAATATGAAAAAGGGGATAGGGAAACCAGTGCAGGAAGGGGGAGGGGCGCAGAAGGGAAAGGGGATTAAAAAAAAGAAACAAGCTGTAATATGTACATGTAACCACTCCCAAGATTGTAAACTAAATGAATTGCAAAGATGTACTAATAAAAAATAAATAAATGTATTAAAAAATAAAAAAAATTTTAAAATTCATGGCAAGTAATAAAGCACATTTCTGGGTGGGTCCTACTGACTTTTGACCTCTTTCTCTCTGACTCTTTGTCTGTCGTCTGCTTTCTGGATGCCTTGTGCTAAAATAAATCATTCTTCCTTTAAATTGCAAGTGTAATGCAGTTTGGCCCAGCAACGGAAAGCTGACCAATACACTTAATCCATGATCAGTCCTCTAAAATGCCTGTCATAATACATGACCTTCATGAACAAAATACGAAATCCGTCTTCTACCAGAAACTATCCCAATTCCAAACCATTTGGATGGTTTTTCTCTATGACTAGGGTTCCTCTTTTTACTGTATACATACATCAGCATGTATTCTGAGCATTTTTCACATTATTTCCACATCTAGGTAGTAAACTGCATAGAACCTCCATCTTCAGTGTCGAATTATCCCCTGGTAACTCAGACCAAAATTGTCTATAATTTGAATATTTAATATTATTTTCCATAGTTGCCATTTGTCCCTTACTTATATATAATATGCTATTTATTTGTTCTATCAGGCATTATTATTATATTCTTTGCATGTTCTTGCTGTTAGGCATATTTCAGTTCTTTTTTTTTGGTACCGGGGATTGAACTCAGGTCCTTGTGCTTGCACAGCAGGCAGCCAAACCACTGAGCTAAATCCCCCGCCCCCATATTTAAGTTCTTTGAGGTGACAGTCTCTTATTTCTATAGTGCCTAAAACTGAATTATGTAAATATTTGCATATAAAAAGACAAAGAAGTACACCCTTAAGTGCAAAGATGCAGAAGTTAGAGGAACTGAGTTCTAGTGTTTGGGTCAGTCACCAAATCACTCATGTTTGAGCAGTAGCTTAATATAATAAATATTTCTAAAATAAAGTTGTGCTAAAAGGTTCTTATAATCTTAGAAAGATTTTTTGAAACTGGCTCATAAATTGGGTACTCGCTGCAGTGTTCAAAACAGTATACCAAGAGACTGGCTTGAGAGCATCGAAGTCACAGCAGTCCGGCAGTCCCTCAGTCACTGGTTGTAGGCTTCCTCTGAGACAGTAGGACAGTAACCTGGCAGGTTTACAAGGAGGGCAATTCTTTGAAAAACAGTTATCATTAGCCATCATTGATGGATATATTGTCCAATAAAGGGCATTTTAAAAAGGCAATAGCTATCTCCACCAAAAAGGATCATTGAATGTTCATTATAACAGAGACATTGCAAATGTTAAGAGCTCTCTTATTATTTTGTTATCTAGAATTTATTTTTTATGAGGATATACACTTTATTATGTTTTGCAAACAGCCAGAGGAAATTCTTGTTTCTGTTTTGTTGATTATCACTTAGGTGCTAAGAAACTCTGTCTCTTAGAAACAGCAAGCAAACAACTGTGAATTCACGTGACAAAACTATATGTACAATATGCCAAATGCATACTTTCGGTATGCATTCTTAATAAGAAGTAAAAATGTAGATAGAGCAGTAGACAATGTGAAAAATGAAAACTTTTCTAGAAAGAAATGTTTGATAATATGGACATTTGTATAAATAGTAATTCTAATTTCATGTGTGTCCACAATAAAGTAAAAATTATAGCTTTAATTTTTCACTTGTACTTATCTGTTCTTAAGGCAAAACTCAGTAATTATCTTAGTAATTATCATAGGCTTATATGATGAATTCACATATAGCAGTTTCCATTGAAAAGCAATGACAGCAACTATAGTTTCTATTAGGTTTTTAAAGGAAAAGAGCTATAAGGTTTTTAAAACCATAAAGGTATTCATTTAGGTGAGTTATAGTATGAGAATTATACTCCTTTGTCTGTAATATAAGTATCATAGTATCATCATTATCAATATATAACACATTTATAGTGTTAGAACATTTTAAAGCAAATTTTAAAGGACCCTAGAAATCTTCTATGAT